GACTATTGAAGCAAGACGGGGGAGGACCAAGAATTAAGGTTGGTTGAAAACTTAGGGGATTTAGGTGAAGTTGGAGCGGAATGGTAAGGATAGAAAAGCGGGAAGGCTGAACAGTAGCATCCAAACCTCATCAAATGACCGCGGTGGTGTTTTGTTTTATATAAGGTCTTCTTTGCGTGGGAGACTAGTGAGCACCTACCGAGGCCCTGATGGCCTTTGTGAGCAGTTAAGGTGTTCGATGCATACCAGACGCTATGAGATGCTCGTGGCGGTGGAATATCGCAGTCCACTGAGCCGCTGCTGGGACTGGTTGTCGTATGCTTGTAACCATGAGTTGTCTGCTGTTGCTACTCATGGATGATTTCAACTCACCTCTGAGGCTTAACTGCTCCCCTGGCTATGACGTGGATTACAAGGCGCATAAGGTACAGCGAAAACTGCAACAACGCGAAAACAAAAAAGCGCAGTACCTTCGAAGAACAGCTTGCAGCCGCCACAAAAACTGATCCAAAGAGGATTTGGTGTCGGAATTTAAGAAATTCCTGGACAAACACGTTGTCAGTATAAAATATATCAAGCGCACTCCAATATAACGGGTCTTTGTACTTGAGTAATATTAGATGCAGCTACATAGAGATGTCTCTAATTGTTGCTTCCAACCAGTAGTCAGTAATTCACGCTGTTCGATGCGGCAGATGAGGCGCCATTCTTCTGCGATGGTCAGAGCGTGAATTCCTTAAAGTGAAAGCCACTGTGTTGTTTTGAGTGAGCAAGATACTGTTCGGCAACCCAGCTCTAAGCAGGAGAACGAGATGAGTTCTCAGCCAAAACCTTTGGTTCATAAACCTAACAGTAACGCAGCGGGGTTTTGGCACTGCGCTACAGAGAGCCACTCACACTCCAACCCCCAACATGGAGGGCAGGAGACTAAGTTTGTCTGTCTTCCAACCATTGACCAATCTGGTATGAGTGGTTCTGAATGTGCAAAAAGCATCATCTAGCATAGCTCAATAGATCACTGAAGCGCACAAGCCATCGCACCCCGTTAAGGTCCAGGCTCGTCGCCATGGGGCCAACTCACACCGAGAACATCAACTGTCAAATATATCAGGAGGGTGATTTATCACAAAACCTGTCTTGGTCCGCTCACGTGGCTACCAGACTTAGAATACTGTTCATACCACGTGATTTGATTGTTAAATTTGTGACTGCATGTATTCAGCCTCATTAGGTTTACTGTTCTCTTGTACTATCTCATAGACTACTAAGAAAAGATGAGATATTGTTCTATTTCCTTCATTAAAACTTATTTTTAGATGCAGTGGATTGTCTAGAGAGGCACTTGTTGATTCTGTTGCCAACACACCTACAGACGCTTGTACTTGTTTTTTTGTACAAGTTTCTAATCAGCCTTTCCACGCATCACAAGGTGTTCTATCGAAAGCGATATTGGTTTCCTCCACATGCCCTGAAGTTAGTTGTATTTTCTCTTATTGCTTCTTACCTCAATTTCGCCATGCCGAAGATGACACGACCAGTAGTTGACCTAAGGAAAAGCATCAGTATGAGGGCCAATTGTATGCCTGACTGATACACGCTTGCAAATATTTCCAGTAGACACTCAGTTTGTTTTTATCTATTCAGTTCGTAGATTGCTCCATTCGGAGTAATAGCGTATGACGCCAAAATGTACCTACTCGGGCGCATAAAACTTATTTTGACTACTTGACTATACAGGGATGATTGTGAATTCCTCTGAAAAACAACGACCTCACTGTTCTAACACATGTGGAAAGAAGAGACCACCCCGGTTAGCTGGAGTGGATCGATTATAGTGGCAATATACAAGGGAAGTCGCAGCAACTGTGCTAACCACAGCAGTATTAGTCTAACGCCAGCGATGACAAAATTTCAGGCCCAATTCACGTTCGTCGCCTAACTGCAGTGCCACAAGTACCGTAGACACACAATAGCTGTGTTCCTCGATTTCAAGAGTGCGCTCGGTTCAGTTGGTGGATGCAATCAGTTCGAAATACTTGTGCGAAGAGGTGTTCCCATGAAACAGGTGGACAACTTACGTGCTCTATACTCGAACACGGCAGGCCGCGTCAGAGTGGACGGTGAATTGTCAGATGTCCATTCGACAACAAGTGGTGTTCGTCAGCATTAACCCATTTCCTCGTGTCTGTTCAATTTAATGGTGGACTGCAGCATCAAGGGTTCCCTTGCGCACCCTCACGATGCAGGCCTTGAGGTGCTGCCTGGTGAAAGGCTAGTTGATCGTGATTACGCTGACGACATTGTCTTGCCTTTAAACGATGTCGGGGCAGCCTTTGTACAGTGGTCCCATCATGTGTCATGCGCTTCATACCTTCAAATCGAGGAACTTGAGGTAGTTGATAAATGTTCTTACCTTGGTAACTGCATTAACAAAGATGGGCGCATAACCACTGAAGTCAGTTAACGCATTGTAGAAGCCACAACTGCCTTCTTGAATTTACATCTGTGTTGTCAGAAAGCCGTGTTTACAAAGAAACAGCGGGGCCGTCCTACTCTATGGGAGTGAGACTTGGTCCCTTCGATCTGAGGACCTACGCGCCCTCAAGTCTCTGAACATGGTTGTCCGCAAGGATGATGTGCTTCGGCGAATACTAGGCAGTGATAAGCAAGCTAGTTCCTTGGAATAACAGATAGCACTGCATAAGCTGCGTTGGCTTGAGTACGTACAACGTATGCCAAGTCACCGCTTACCGAGGAGTATCTTGTCTCGTTTGCCAGATATAGGGTGGTGCAAGGTTCGAAGTGGACAATAGATGACTTAGCAGCGGGAAATGAAGGTACTGACAAATAACTGGGTGCCGTCTGTCTATCCGGCCCTCCAGGCTGGAGTCCATGTGACCCAGTTTGTGGTTGACTCCAGACGTTACGGGAAATGGTTCGCAGTCGACACCAGTGGCGCGTCTGCTGCAGTCTCGTAGTCAGATTACCGGTTGAAAGTGAGTTAGTGGTAAGTTATCCGCAAGGTCATGCCTGATTATGATGTGTGCAGTATAGGTAACAAAGAAGCTGCCTTATTTTCTGTATGACAGCCAAGTGTTTGTGACCGTATGTTGTTAACAAGGTGTGATCCTGAATGTTTGCTTATAGTGCTAAGGCTTCGTGATAGGTTCCGCTTCTCTCCCTCCCATTATTCTTCGTCTCGTTGCATTACTTCAAGTGGCTATTACTGTTGATGATGATGACAAAGATGATAACATCGCCGTAAGGTTGTGGTGCCGGATTTGAAGCGAGTCTCCTATCCCTGGATGTAAAAAGGCGAGTGGTAATTGTTTGACGGTGTGTCGGAACATGTAGAGGAGTACAAACCAGTACAGCAAGTCAAACCTTTGCTGGATCTACTATTTACCACTGTTCGACTCAGAGTGAGCGTATTTAATGATAATGACAGCTGATAATGACGGCTATGAACAAGTAGTTAACGTAAGTCAGCCATTTTGTACGTTGGGTGAGAATTTGATGGGCGTTTAGAGTAGTAACAGGTGATAAATACGTCAGTGAACATTTTTGCTAACACTGTAAATGAGTTCAACAACTTTAAAATTTTACTGGCTCCCCTAATACAGCATTCGGTTCAGTCCCGACGTCTGTCCATGCAAACTAAAAACGGTGAATTCACTGTTTATCCTAGTACTGTGTACATAGCTCCATATGGAGCATTTATAAGCAGCGGCTAGTTGTTTCGTGGTGAAACAAACTTAGATTTAGTCTAAACCATCAACCGATCAATCCAAATTGTATTGCTGCTTCTTGGGGTTTACTGAATACGTTCAGACATGTAAAATCGTCAAACTTTCTGGAATCAGGTCGGGTAGTCTGAGAACCAGTCTGAACCAGTCATAACAAATATTGCTCAAATATTGCATCTTTTATGCAGCAGATTGGTGTTAGTAGACCGCATGGTGTACACCTGTTGAGTGTAGATCTTAAAAATTGCAAGATAGTGATTGACTAGTAAACCCTAGGTGCAGTTTTTAGTGAAGTGCCCCACAGAATCGGAAACAATTGTGACGCCGAGCTTGTTCCCTTGGTCTTAGACCAAATGTGAGGTTAAAGAGTGAAACTGTGGAGATTGAAGTGCGGACTATTCGCTAATTTCCTGTAGACGTAACCTTGATTTAGACGTTTTTCTTTCACATTCGTAAGCAAACCCAGGAAGGATTGCTCCAAGGACCAGTTATTGACATGGAAATATACTAGCAAAACCGAAGGTGTTTAAGATAGTCGGGTACACGTAGAATGCAGGTGAGAATTGTAACGTTAGCATGATTCGTGTGAAGAGTATTGCAAGCAGTGGCACAAAAGGTTATCGTAAAACGAACCAAGTCTTTGTGATGACCGTGGTACGCTTAGTATAGGATTGGTTTTGATAAGTTTCTTGATTAGACACGTGACGTTACACAAACTAGTAGTTACCAAATGGCTTCAAAACGCCGAGGAGGGCAACACCAATTGCAAGGGTTATCACGTACCAGAAAAGACAGCTAGAGTTACGAAGGACAAAAATCCTGAGTTTCGCGTTGAATATTGTGGAGGGATGTGTTGGGGTTGGGTAGACCACTATGCTTGGCAGTCTATACGGCATTTCATTCAGCTGATTTAAATTGCAGAAAACAGAGACACTTATGCTATGCCCGGTAAAGTGGCGCGTCACTGATGATTGAAGATGTACAGTTAGATGGGTTATGGCGACATCCCTGGAGGTGACGCACAGCTGATTATCACGCAAACAGTATCCTCGAGATAACAGTCGTAAAACAATGATAAGTGGAACGGTGGCACATAAAAAGCTAGGCATATGGAAAGAGATCACAGCTTGTACAACATCCCACGGAGTTGTGACTTCGGAAAGGAAAATCAAGGAGGTTCTGATAGGTTGCAGAAAATGCCTGAAAAGTGGGACACGTGGATGAAAAGCGAGTAACAAGCTACTACTAACTCACTCGATATCAATGGCAAGGTGGACAAACGTGCCAAGGTGCCTCTCAAAAGAAGATCCATGTTCTCATCCAACTGGTCGTGCTGCACACGGAGCAATATGGCACACACCAATCGGCCGGCAGCTGTTCCCCATTCAACGGGTCCAGCGGGATCCAAAAGTCGCGATGCTACGTGAAGAATGTATCTAATCCCGTTATTACCTGTGAGAGAAGGAAACAAAACTAAGCTTAGATGAGTGATCATGTGGGACGAACGCGTGCCGCCGGTTGTCTCAAAGAAACATGTGTAATTTTCATGCAATGAGTGAATAAAATGGGAGTCATGGAAAACCATGAAAAACAGGAGAACGTCCTATGACTACCAAAAAGAAAAGCGAACGCAACATAGAATGGCCCGGAGTGTGTGTGCCCAAGTAGGGCAAAATAGGGTAGCAATGTCCCTATTTGTACACCAGGACTTTCATTGACTAGTCGATTTACGGCCACCTTCACAGGTGAGAGAGCTCTTGAAAAGCTACACGGGCATTGATGACAAACGAACTAGTCTTCACACTGATGTGGTCACCCGAAGTGATACAACCATTGAGGTGAGTGAATCGAGCAACCGCTCTTAGTAACCGTTCGGCGGTGGTTGGAACCAGTTCTACAATCGTAGCTTGCAAGTGTGCAGCGATACGTATCGGTCTATGCAGAAGTGTTTGCATAGTCAGTTAGCGCGATATAAGAAAACTTTACCGTCGGTATACTTGGGAGTTACCACTTGGTCACAAGCCAGGACGTTCAATCGAGAAGGGAATTGTAGGACACAGTGGTTTATGACGAAGTTGTAAACGAGAGGAGATGAGAGGGAATGTTAGCGAGCATTATTTACAGCGGGAAAGTGGCAGACAACATCCCGTGGGCACTTAGCAAACCTTGAGAGTTGCAGTACAGAAAGTACAAAAGAAAAACGAGTATCCTGGGCAAATCACAAAACAGCAAGTTTGGAGACAAGGAAAGCAAGGCCAAAAACTCGGCGGTTGGGATGGCGGTTAACAACCGCCAGTGCGACGGTAAAGACAAATGGAGGTAGTCCGGTCCAGGGGTCTTGTGTTGTTTCAGCACGGTGAGTTAATGTCGCATCTCTTACGTAGTGACATATGGGATACCAACTGATCATCCGCTTTCATGTGATTCGACTAACGGTTGTGTCTCATCAGTCGCACACAGAATACAAGTAGAAACACAGACACAATTATATACATGGGAAAAATTGGCACACCAGTTCAACTATCAAAATCAAGGCCAAGGCAGTCTAATTGATTGCATCAATAGTTTCTGTGCATATATCACAGGTTAATAGGCTCTAAGTAGCAACGCTTTATTAATTGCTAGCCCTATCAGGTTCCAGTTGCGTTCAAGGTGTTACTACGCAACAAGAACCCGACAAGGGTAGCAATCAGTGAAGCGTTGCTAATGGTTGTGTTGCAGTAGATTTGCTGAACTGCTGTTCTAAATGATCCGTCCAACGGGTTAGAGACGCGACGGTGTAGGATCAGCATTTCACCCCTCTCAATTACTATGTCACTAAATACGTGCTTGTACACATGCCACCAGTGAGTTGGAAGAGTATTCTGCGGTTTCCCATGCATAGGGCTACCTCCATCTCACTGACCCATTCCATTCAACGGTTATTAGTCAATCGTCGTTTCCGTGTGTTACGAATACGTCGAAACTGAGTATCCACTGGCATTATCATCATCAATAATAACCAATAGAAACGTACATCAGCAATGTGCACTGATGACTCGCTGCCGTCCAACCACAATGATCCACGAAACCAAGAATAAGCGGGAAAGGGGCCTGGTGTAAAACCCACATACTCTAAACGAAAAATCACGATCAAGGCGCCTGTACCAATCATACGAAGCCTAAAGTAAGTCCGTCGTACGAAAATTAAACTAGAAACTACGAACAAATAAACCTAGACTCAACGCACGGTCTGGGCAGAAGAATAAAACGCAGTATCCTGTAACCGTGGTTCTATAAGGCACATTAAATACAGTACATGGCTTACGAATAGGTTTTGTGATTGTAGTGGATTGTAGTGCAAGTGGACAGACATTGTGTAGCGTGTGGCGGCGTGCAAGTATTTGGGCAGTGTCATAGTAACATAATAATATGAATGACCTTGAAACGTCAAGGATATGTCAGTGATCGAGTGAAAGGAAGAAATATACGATATGGTAACTGATTATAGGACACAGAGTAAAGCAATGTAAAATGAGCAGAATAATCAGGGAATAGAGATACCGTGTCCTCATGCAAGCAATGCAGGTTGGGGATAAATCAAAGTTCCTTTTGGACTTTACAGCGCTCATACCTTGTCAACAAGATAGCGCCACAAACAGCTGGTTATCGTGTAAAGCTAAGACAGCATATACGAGACAGCTTTCTTTCATACCACGTCATGATCGGACATTCCTTCACAGATAACTCAGAATACGATAATCGAAGCACGTAATCGGATTGTGAGATGACCGCAAACGCGCCAATGGTGACGAATGCAAGCCCTGCATTGCAAGTTTTGAGCCAATCACAAGGTGGGATGCATGAGAGCAAACTCCTGAGCTTTACGCCATCCTTCATCCAACAAGCACTACAGCGCATAGGCAGCACGTGCTCAACGTACATGATTGGTGGGTCTGAGTTAATCCCGTCTATCCTGGTTTAATAGCCTGAAGATAATGTACTGACGACAAATAATGTCACAAGACAGCTTTCCACTGAAAACCTAATACACACGACCTCCAGAGTATGGAGACAACATTACAAAGATGGTTGTCCTACTGTTCGTCAGAGTAACGGGCACTCGTGGAAGCCAGATTGGTAAACAACAGGCTGGGTTGCATAGAAATCGAGGTTACATTCACATTATCTTCACTTTGCGCCAGTTATTGGAGCACCGCCAGTTATATTGGCGAGCAAACGCAGCCATGTTCCTCAAAAACAAAAGTGCTTCCGATTCGGTGAAACGATATGCTTTTTGGGAATGTCTAGTCAGGAAAGGTATGCCAGGGGAATAGGTAAACATTATAAGAGTGCTTTACGCGTGTAGGGAGTGAGTGCTTATGGCAAGCTGCAGCCACCTTACAATATCTTCAAAGGTGCGATACAAGGATGTGTCCTGTCGCCTTTCCATTAGTCATATAATGGAAATCAAGTTCATCGGGCACAACATAAGTGTGAAATAGCAGGAGGCAGAACTTTTCTATTGAAGTATCTCGACGATTTGCTTTTATCTTTGACGCTCGATAAACGTGCTAAGCAGAAGCGGACAGATTAGCTCTAGTTGTTAACCGTTTCGTGCTTTGCCTTGCATCCTCCAAATGGGAAGCACTGCTTCATGGTTGAAACGGACCACCAACTGCACGGACCCTTGGCAGGGATCAGCTAGAGGTCATTCAGAAATTCGATTAGCTAGGCAGTTATATAATCATCCTTGGAATAGAAGATGAAGTGACAGACCGCGCAACAAAAGTGTGGGGCACCTTACAAACCTAAGACACTTAAGCTGCCGGTGCCACATCACCCTCGTCCTGAGAAGCAGAGTCTAAGTGGCAGCCGACAGACGTGTAGTTATCGCGCTCTAATTGTTATGGAATTTTCTCCTCTCTACGTTCTCCCAGCGTAGTCACCATAGGGTCATTCGAATCGGATTTATTAGCCCTATTCACTGAGCCACTATACGTGGAATTATCTTAAACGTTTCACGATTCCAGCAATACCAGGCGTTTTATACGGCTCTCGTGTTTAAATCCATGCACAATTGTCAAAGGTTATGAGCCCGAGTTTCAGTTATGTGACACCCTACAACGCAGAAATCTCGAAGCTTTCCAAAGATCCCAAGCTTGTTCTAATACGGTATTCCTCCAGACGTCTGTGGAGGTATTTGTGCGCCCATATTCTCTGGTTGCATCTGGCTAGTATTCAGCTTCAGAAACAGACCCCTGCCCAGCCAGAGCACATTCATCGACCCGCAAACCAACGAAGCGCGCTTGTTTACCTAACCAACACGTGCAGTCGAGTGAATGCCCATACACTCGATGTGCGATTCATCCCAACATCGACGTGAGCCTTGGAAAATTGGTCTGTTGATTGACCGTACATGCACGAGATCACAAAAGTGCATGTCATCAATAGACATGGTCTAACCGAAGGGTAAATGTGACCTACGAGATAGAGTCACCAAGGTTGGAATAACATGTTTAACTGTTGTGAATCATTTCACTCTAAAGGTATAAGGATTAGTGCACACGAAACTATGCAGCACAGCAGCAAAACGACGTTTTGGTTTTGCCAGATGTGCAAATCCATCCCAGTTGTTAGCTGCCTAATCGTTTTAATGAAAACGTGTGCAAAGCTAACAGGCGCAGTTGGGCAACTGCTGAACGCCTGTGATAAACAGTTGCAAGTGAACGAATTTAGGTTTGCATCTCAACGAATACCTATCAATACCCCATTTAGGCCAAAGAAGAGAGCAAGGCGTCCTACTTTCACCTCAGCTTCTCAGTCTCTAATTGTCTCAACCCACTTCACTCCGCTTAACGGACAACAGCCTGCCTGCTTCCAATTCCTCCAAAGGCGCAGCAACCAGTCGTTCAGTTGCCATATTTGAGACCAAAAACGACAGCCAGTCTATAGTAAAAGAAAACCGAATATCACACGCATCGGTTGCTGCCAGGAACTCATCAGAAATGGCACCCATGACTAGGCAAAACTGATATGTCACAGTATGGATTGCTGTCAGCAGTGCTGCCTACCAATCCACAGAAGGGAACAGGACCTAGTGCTCTTAGGTCGATAAGCACCATGCGCAACCATGGTGCTGAACCCAGATCGAACAAAATAATGGTAATTAGAGACACGATCGAAATCAATGGAGCTCTATCTGTAACGCCAATGGTGACCGCACTAACCCCATCACAGTGAAACGTATCGCGCGTCACCCAAGCACATTGTACTCAGCTAAGGGTACATCGAGAAACACTGAATTTCGTGGATGAATACTGAATACTGAGAAAATGCAGGGAGTAAAGAAACCTCTGTGTAGCTACATCTAATACCCTTTAGGCAAATCTATTTATCATGTTTATTATTTTTGAAACTTCAATTCGGCAAAGTGTGAGTCCAGGAGTTTCTTAGACCCGACACCAACTTTGCTTCGACTATGTTTGCAGGCAGGTTGTTCCAAATATTCATCATCCTTTGCTCGAAGCAGAGTTGGTGAGCGACTCGCTTCAAATCCGGATGAGACGAAAGTCAGTCTGCTGTCTGTGAATAGACTCTACAAGGTAGCAAACGTAGTGCGCATATTCGGGACATCCTGGAAGAAACGTAAGAAAAATATTTATTTACAAAGGATCTGAACAACCAAGAGAGAAGTCGAAAAGAAGATAGGGCAACCGTCATTGTTCACGGTGTCCCCGAGTGTCAAGTTTCCTTTTCCAAAGAACCTCAGGCATATGACCAAGAGCAATGGCGACATATTCGTGAGACACTCGCTCTAGATATCGTTCCCACTTCGTTGACAAGGATTCCCGCGTCTCCTAACTACCAGGGGAGGCGGTCCCAGTTGCTGAAGTCGGTTTTACAGTCCGAGCTAAGGGCATAGACCAGTAAAGAATTGGGCTAAGTTCCGTAACAAGCAGTCAACATAAATTCGACTGAAGGTAACAGGGACAAGACAACAGGCTATTGATTACCCAATGGGGGTGGCAAACTCAGGGAAAAAGCACACTGTGGAGTGCAGCACAGCGACCAATCTAACAGCTGTCACGAGATCCGGAGGGACATCGTAGAGTGCGATTGACGATCAGGGTCATCATCACCTAGAGTGTCCGGTGCAGCAATGCATCACAACTCCATCTCAAATGCCGGCGACTCCAAGAAAACGAGTCTCAGAACTGCTGAATACATAGTACACCAAACTTTAGACCCATAAGGCATTCTCTAGTTTCTATGCCAAAGCACAATGCCTCTCCCGCAAACTAACAGAGCCTCGGCTGCGTTCGGCCTCGATGTCGTGAAACTTCATCATGGCAACCAAGACATAGATGAGTGAGGCCGAAATCGATCGAAAAGAGGTGGTGTACTACTCTATTAAAGCTGTAAAACACATATTGATCTCATCGACGACCCGGAGGCCTAGATTATCGACGTGCTTTGGTGCCATCTTTACCTAGGACGTGGTGACATGTATTCTCCACTTCAGAATAGGAGAGTCACCTAGCCTCCATTATGAAAAATACGCTCGCACAGTCACACTCTTCTGGTTGGTGATTTCAATCTTTACACCCCAGATATCCAATCCTGTATCGATGAACACTTCAAAATGGAATTGCAAGAGCTAATCATTCGACTGCCACTCTACAAGCACGTTACTTCTCCTACAAAATTTAGGAATGGAAATAAACCCAGTATCAAGGATCTCGTGTTCACCAACGAGGAGCTTATCATGGAAATGCTATTGATAGCTAGTCCTTTGGGCCGCAGCGATCATGTGACACTCTTGTTCAACTACATCAGTCATGCAGAGTATTCCGCAGAAAACGCCGACGACTCCCAGCCTACTACCGAGTACAGTGTTCTGATCACATTCAATAGTGGAACCGGCTGGCCGTTTCTAGCTGAAATATCCCCAATGTCGCCTGGTAGGATTTCTTTCATCAATTCATCAAATTAGTAACCGGTGCTTCAAGGAACAGACGATGAGGCTAAAACCATTCATACGTAGCAGGAAGCGGAAGGTTAAAATGTTTCGAAATACTAGTAGCTCGGGTTGATGTTTCAATAGTTCATTTGTTCTTCGAGCTTGGCAGTTTGGTTGCAATCGTTTCACCAACATGCGAGGTGGCATCCTCAAAGCAGTGAGATGCGACGTGCAATCACAGGAGATTCGCTCTGGTGTAGCTACAAGGAATCACCGGGCACCGAAACATGGGAAGCCTGCACTGTCCAACGAAATCACTGCGTGAAGTTGGCACGCGCGGATAAAGAAAAGCATCGACAAGACGTAGCTAAGAAATCCCCTTCAAACCCCGAGCTCCTTTACAGACGTCAAGAAAGTTCGTAAAGTGCATGGAAGGATTCCTGTTACCCACACGCCATGTGGACTAGTACAAACTGCAATAGAATCTGCCTACGCCACAAATCTACCATTCTCCCCAAATTTACAGAACACCACTTCGTTGTCTATTCTGTTCTAACAGGTTGTACTACCGTCAAGACATAGCCACATTTTGTTCAGAGCCATAGATGTTCTAAAAATGCTAAGTCCCCTACGCAGCCACACCTTTCTTGGTGCTGATAAAATCCGCCCGAAGACGCTGACGTTAGCTGCAATGAATTTGGCAGATCCACTCTCTCAGTTCTTCCAACGATGTCTCGATGAGATCCGGGTTCCAACAATATGGAAGCACGAAGTCGTCACTTCCATTCACTAGGGGAAGTCGCGCAGATATAACCAACTATCCCCCGATAACCCACCTTCCGCGCTATCCAAAGTCAGGAAGTTTATTATTGTCGAAGAGCCCACGAATTACTTAGAAGGGTGAAAAACCATAGAACCAGAACAGCATGGATTCCAACAGAACCGATCTTACACCACAAACTGGCTATCTGTTTCCTACCGTTGGATTGGAACCGTCGACAGCAGTGTGGGAGTTGACGCAGTCTATCTGGACTTCTAAAACGTGTTCGACCGTCTGAAACACTCACTCATAAGCTTTAGGGCTGTGGAATTGATAACCCAATTCTCAGGTGGATAGATAACTGATTCAACGAGATCTGAGTGTGAGAGTTCGCGGTGCCATCTCTGACCCTAACGACGTTCAGTGTGGAGGGTCACAAGCCTCAGCACTTGGTCCAGGCCTATTCCTAATTTACATAAACGATCCCGCTGATAATCTCACGATACGGCTGGATATCAAAACAACGGGTGACCACGTAGCGTTTCAGGATGAACTTGGTAGGGTATAGGAATGCGCGACTCAGAAGCTGCTTCACTTCAACGCCACCGAGTGCAAAACACAGAGCAAAGGCGTCAATCCACTTACGAGTAAAGGCTAGGGAATCATGTTTTGCATTACGCTTCTAATGAATGCAACCCCGGTGTAATAATACAAAAGGATCTTGGCTGTTCGCGTCAGGCCGAGAAGGCATTCAAAAAACATAGGGTATTCGGGCGTTTTCACCATCCAATCCTCTCTCAAATGCTCAACGTCAACATTAGGCCTCATTCGGAATACGCCAGTCACGCGTGGCAGCCCCGGCACAGACACGACCTAACCGCACTTGAATTGCCACAACGAAGAGAGACCAGGAACGTAAAGGGTCTGTTTCCAATCCCTTACCAACTGAGGCTGAAAGCCATTGGGGTCTACAGCGGACAATACCGACGTCTGTGTGGCGATTTGATAATGACATAACTGATCCTGAGGAATTCAGACCAGGCTTGTCGTCAGCTTCGAAAGCTGAATCACAATACCACCATGAGAGGTCACTAGCTAAAGCTGGACATACTGTGTATAGCAGGTTGGATTGTCGCAAGACTTTCGTTTCACTTCGCGTGTGTCAACCATGGAACGCTTTCCCCACTTATGTTGTTTCTTCCACCAAATTCGCGGTATTCAAAAAACGCTTCGGCGACGCACTCATACATTTTTTTATTACGCCATATAATCCATGATGCGAAAAACAACCCACGATGTTCACGTCTACATCGATTGGGTTCGGTCTCTTATGATTAAATTTTGGAGGAGAAAGTTGTGAATTTCTCCCATACCTCTATGAAGTCACTGAGTCAGGTTGTATGGTCTTAAAAGATTGAGCTACGCTGTATGGGCAGAACTGAATACTTTTCTAGCGCAACAACTTAGATCAATGGATTATGGAGATACACAAACGACTGCAACACGTCTAGTTTGGTTGAAATGCAAGAGAATGGAAACGGATGGGATGGTGAAGATCGTTCTGGACACTTCATGTGATGGAATATGTTGTCTTCACCAACGTAAGCCAATAGAATGCCAACTAATAACAACAACGTGGAATGAGAAAGAATAACAAAAAGTGTGGCGTTGGGAGCGGGCAAACCCAGCGTGGGAACATGTTAATAACTAGATTAAGATGAGAAACCGGTAACAGACTGATTTCTAGCAGGTAACCTAGAAGGAACAGGTAATTAGTCTGAAGTGGAAATGCCCTACAAAGGTCAGATGGATTGCACACTGCCGACGGTTCCTGAACGGAGGAAACGGCCGTATAGTGAGTGTTTTTCCGGACATGTGATGACTACCTGACTGAATTGAGATGTGATGAATTTCCGGTTATGCCATCCAAATCCCCCAATTACTCCAGGTTCTAATAGTAAGGCATTGAGAAAGAGAATTGACAACAAAAGTATAACAAAAGAAACGCAATAATATGCTTGGTTCTTTATTGTGCGTCAAGCATGAGGGCATGAAGTGAAGGGTAGGATAAGATGAATGTACATGGAAAACACACAACAGAAACGGTCTCGGTCTTGTCAACAAGTCTACAGCCTACAGTTGATATCTACAGTCTACAGTTGATATCTACAGTTGATATCTAGGCCTGCGCTGCAGAAAGTATGCCTATTTGAAATCGGTATTTTTCCCACTCGAATTTCACTCACCTTCGTCATCATGCCATTCGAGGACGCCATCGACATCCACCGCCAAGTAACAACGCAAGGATTCGCAACATCCCTGAAACACGAGAAGGAAAAGATTAATGACGCTTGGATTGAGCAACGGCAGAAACTCAGCGTGATACGAGGAACGCTTACCGAAATGAGTGTAGCGTCTGTGCTGGTGATTGCGATGTGCACCACAACCGGAAACAACCGCTGAATGAGCACAGAGCTGAGGTGGGGCCTTGATCCAAGAATAAGTGCGCAGAGTAGTTGGAGGGAAGCCTATATGTGAGAAGATAAAGAGTCTATCGGGTGAACATAAAGGTACGCAAAAATAGTGGGAACAGAAACTTTAGAAAGAGGTTTATAATGAGCAAGCGAAGAACGTGGGATGTGAAACTCATTTAATCATCTCAGAGATTCTGCAGAATGAGGGTTGGAGAAATCGTAAAAATAGAAAGCATGATCCGATGTTATAGATGTAGTTAGTGACAATGACGAGGATTTGCGATGATAAAAAGCAAAGGGAAGATGGTCAACAATATTTATCGAACAGCATGGACATACGCAAAGAACAAACCAATTGATGAGCGGAAAAGAGTGCGCAGGGTGCAACACAGCGAGTAAGATGATGACAATCGATCACTAAAGCGCCAAGATCACAAAACACACAGGAAACAAACGAGAAGCTCGGTTAATCGATTGTGGTCCCCCAGGTGCCGATGTGTGGCGTCTGCTAATGGCTTAGATCGCATCACCATAAGGAGAATGATCAATCGCGGAGCAAAATGAAAAGTACTGATGGAAAACAGACGGAATACACGGGGGTGCCGCTACCATTACCGATACATGATATGTGAAAATGTTTCAAACGAAAGACGTGGTAGATCCGAAAGGTCTCTAAAGTAAGACAAGCACATATGAACTCGACGTTGTCATAGCAGAAGTACTGCTAATGAGCAACACACAAGCACAGGAGAGTAATAGAAAAAATCCGCCGCACAGCCACGTAAGCTCCGTAGACAATGTAATGTGTCACCAATGATAATGAGTGGTAAAACAAAATATAACCATTAGCTGAAAGCAGATAGAAATTAAGTGTTGCTAGTCCCACACTAACATCTCAATGGTCCTGGGTTCGATGCCGGCTCACTCTATCTGATGAGACATAATAAGATCGAAACGCGTCATAGTAGTGCAGTGTTTTCGGGCAGGCAACACCCGATTCCTATTTGCATCAGTTATGGTCCTCGTGATCGATAGATCAAGGTTCACTTCAATGGGAATGGAGATCAACATTGAGATTGCGCGTCGCACTCCATCCACACAAAGTGTACTTCAAAATGATCCTCAACATCGTTCATTAAACCGTTGTGCCAAACGTTGTCCATCGTGGCCCGGTGGCTTAGTGGTAGCGGTCACAACTCACATCCCAATGGTGCCGGGTTCGATATCGTCTAACTCTATCTGAAGAGAAGAAATAACCTTGAAGCGCGTCATAGAAGTGCAATTTTTTCGGGCGGGCAACACCCAATTTCGATGTGTATCAGCTACGGATCTCGTGATTGAAAGACCAAGATTCACTTCAATGGGAATGACACTGAGATTGTGCGTCGCAATCCATCCACACAAAGTGTACTTCAAAATGACCCACAAAAATGGCAGAAAGCTACTTTCATAATGTAGCATGGGACGCATGTAGCATAAATGGACACAGCCCAAATCCGACACGGATGCATATGTTATGCGAATTGGTGTAGTGAGGCACAACAGCAATCCCTAAGCATAACACATCGATCGACATGACAGAAAGGTCGATTGGTAAGTTGAAGATCGCAGTTGACAAGTTCGTCGTGTGAACAACTTAGTTGTATCTGACTACAGTTCCTTTTGTTACATGTCAACAGAATGAAAAGGAGGCCTCTTTTAAGATGGGCACATACAAACAAAAGCTTCATTCTCCCAAGAGCAATGGGCACGTTCTGGATCAGATAGTTCGTGAAGTACATCAGCCATGGCTTAATGCGATTGGTTTTGACATTGTGAGAGAACGACACAGGGGCTGCCAGCCATTAATCAGCTGACGCGAAAGTGCGACGTGGTCCATTTAACGTGATGACAATAGGGGTGGAGGAAACGCTTCGTTCAAATCTCTGAGACAATTCCTTACGAAGACCTTTTCCGTTAACAAAAGTAGCAGATCCGCACCGTAACAGAATCGCGGACGTAACGCTGTTCACAAGAGCAACTCTCCAGAGGAGAATAATTTCAACAAGCAGTTGCACCAGCCGTGACAATTTAATTAGTTGGACGAAAGCCACGGCGTCAATTAGCATGTTTCGGGAATCGAATATGAAAGGAATTAAGTGGACACTTTCGTATCCTGGTAATTTATAAAATGATTCAGATAAACGATCGTCATGTTCCTCTTGTGCACAAGGGTAGGTGAAAATGGCATGCAAATATGCGATTTGCTCGTTGGCGCTTATTGGTGAGCGTCAAACCATCCATGATGACCCCAACCCGGTTGACAATAGGTTGTATTGTACAAACCCGCAGAATAAAAAGAATTTGGTTGGCGGCTTCGGATCCATGAATACCAGAAGGCGGAAAGACCAAGGTTGGGCGTTAACCAATGCTATATGAAACCGAAGCATCGAACAGACCTGATGCGGGTTCACTGCTGGAAAGAAATTAGAATCACAGTACGAGGATTGGATTTTCGGAATTTCTTTAACGTTGTATATCCCTACGCATTCGTACTTTCAAGCCGTAATCGGATGTTCTCAATCGGAGCGATCGATGGAATCCTGAGTGGTGCAGAGACGAATCGGTGTTTCGCTTTAGCAGCAGAGCTGAAAACGAATGACGCAAACGAGCTTCACTTTCTGTGCCATAGCATGGGACATGAGACAGGAAAAGAACAATGTTCTGCTCCGCGCTTGACGTTGCAACCATGCGAGCGTAAATCGGTATCACGTCAATTACTTACTTAGGTTACTTTACTGCAGCTAGCTCCTGCGACAGGATGAGCCGGCTTCATGAATGTCGCGAATTGCAGCGCGGCGATGGGCGGCAAGCCCCACGCAGATACTGATCCAATGGTTCCTCCAGTGACGAGCACCATGCACAACATGGAGTCCCAGAAGATCCACATCCGATTTTACTGCAGAGAGCCATATTTTCTATTGTCCACCACGGCGACGACACCAACCCTGGCAAGGAGAGGATGAAATCAAGACCCTAGTGAAGTCAGTGTCTGATCCGCGGAGGAGGTGACCGAACCACTGAAGTCAACGGCGTTGGATGAGCGTTGTGAGCTACGGAAGACCGTAACAGCGCCTAACGGATTCCGTCATTGGTGATATGCTCATGCCATTGTGTTTTCAAGATAAGCACTAGACACCAATGGTCGAAAAGTTTCAGCTTCCAGATGTCTTCGGATCGCAGCGTCCATGCTTTGCAACCATTGAGTAAAATGGCATGAATGGTTGCTGAGAATACTCGGATCTTCGTTCACGTTAATGTCCATATGCTGCTCTTCTGAGTGCGATGCCAAGCATGGAATGGTCTGTACTTATGCTAAATACAATCGCACAGGCAAAATGAGACCACGGAGGATCAAACCGCTGTAGCTCTAGGAAGAACAAGCAACGCATGGATGTAACATGTGTTCTGACGTGTGACGGTGGTGGAATGCGAAAAGTAAAACAATGATCAGATGGAGTCAATTAAATCGGTTTATATGAAAGTAACACATTTGGTGTCTGAAATGGGATGGTACGGCATTGCGTAAACATCTTGGTTCAAAAATGTCAAGATGACTATCTTCAACATGGTGATCTTCAGGAGAAAGGAATGGAAATTCCGTTAAGAGAAATCATTGAAGTTATGCTTTGGAACAGAATCACGTAGAATGGGCACGATGTGGCAGCATCGATATCAACAGCCAAGACACTCAAATTTCTCTAAGATCCGCAACGAAAGTAAAAGCAAGATAGGAAACACAGCAGATGTAAGGAAGCAGACACGGTCGCGGTAACAAGACGATTTATCCGCTGGTAATCACTGAATACTGGAAATAGATAGCGAAAAGACAAAAATCTGTGTTGCGCAATCGTAGGTGGATCGGGCACATGCACGGAATCACGTCGCTGATTCCTGTGCGGTGGCAGCGTATTGCAGATGCAGTACATCTTGTCCAGGTGCGATACGCTCCCTATACCTGAAATCCGCAAGACCGGTCCAAGAATCTCTTAAATGCCGACACCGATTTCGCCTCGATTAACGTCTCCAGCAAGTTGTTCCAATATTTCACCACTCGACGCTCGAAGCATAGAGGATGAGCAATGCACTTTAACTCCGGTATCACTAGTTTTTACCGGTGTCCGCGTGTGCTGCTTGGAATGCGAAGGTGCATCAGCAGCCTCAACATAAGGAAGTGGCCCAAGTGAAATACCAGGGGGTCCGTCTTAATGAGAACAACTCGAAACCGACGAGATTACAGGGTATGAAACCACAGCCTCCTACATCGGTCCTCGTACCATATACCCGTAAAGTGGAGATGAGTCGGGTAAACACACGCTGGACCGGTTGCAGTAACTGCACCTCACATATTGTTATCGGACAGCACGCAAGTAAGCCGTACTCAAGCATCGGTCTTATCGTGGGAGAGAACAGACAGGTGATAATCTCTTCAGACCAAGTGCAGAAGCTGCACCTATGCGCCCAAAGCAGGTGTAGTCCGTCTGTGTACAGTCGTGGTGCCGACAGATTTCAGACCACGGCATGACAATACACCGAGATTCTTTGCGGAACTGGTGGGATGCAGCGGGTGGCCAGCCAGGATGAACGCACGCCCCTTACCACCCTTCCCCAGGTTCATAAACAAGGACTAGACCCGGTTTGACCAGTAGGTCAACTTCTGCAGACAACCGGGATAGGCGGTCGCGGTCCTGTTGAAGGACATCACAGTCGTCGGGAGAATCAATAATCCTACAAATCTTCAGGTCGTCCGCAAACAATGCGCAGGGCGACTGAAGAAGCTGAGGTACTTCGTTGAGGTGGATCAGGAGCAAAATGAGTCCCAGTACTGTGTCTTGTGGTACGCCACTACTGGACAGGTACAGTTTCGTTAGCTGGTCATCCATCTAAACCCGCTATCTTCTCCAAAAAAGGAAGTCACTGATACACTGGTGCAGTGCGCCACTAACACCACACATCCGCAGCTTGTGGAGTAGGACCTCATGGTTCACCTTATCGAAAGCCCTACTGAAATCAAT